TATAAAAGTAGATGTCATGTTTGGAAGATAATCTTTAAATCAAGTAAAAGAGAAAAGCCTTCTTATTGCTTTTGTCTTGTTTCAGAAACACAGTGCAGCAGCTGATATAGCGTCCACGCTGTCAGAAGACCAGGTGCCGGAAGCGTTTCTGGTGATGCTGCTCATCCAGTTCAGCACGATGATCATTGACAGAGCTCTGTACCTGCGCAAGGCTGTCACAGGAAAACTCATCTTCCAGGTTTGTTCACATCATAAAAGTCTCATCATTAATTATTCACATATATTCACAGCTTCACAGGTGATCCACAGTTCAGAGGAACAGTCCACGAAAAACAAGAAACTATTTTAATAAAACTGATTTAAATGTGATCTTTCTCCCATTCAGAGTCATCCTCTCTTGCAGCTGAGGAGCATTTTCAGTAGGGTGCTATTTTTAGTTTACTCCTTAAACGCTGCCTGTATCCTCCTGTACTAGTGCTTCAGAGTGGCATCATAGAGGGGGGGTGGAGAGCCAGAAAACCCCACAGGGAGGTCTGTGGCTATGCTTAGAGGACCTGCCTTTATCTGCTCAATCATGGTGATATAACCCAAAAAACTTGTGTAGATTGTGGAAAACTAGTTCATCATCACAGACTGACCCAGTCAAGGGTAACTGCAGTAACTGTGGCAGGACGAAGGGCGTTACTATATCATCGACGTGTCCAAGCAGGGTGTTAAATGCTTCGTCTCATCTTCATCGATTGTTCTCTTACAACTGCACCTCAGAAGGATTCATGACAGGAAACAACTTAAATATCGTGCTCTCCCTCTTCACTTGTATCCCTACATGAGGCAGCGGAGGCTACAGCAAAAACAGAACTAGCTTTAGATCAGACCTGCACTGTTGAGATTAAGCACAGATGTGCCAGGTTGAACCTTTCAGTGACCACACCCACCCTGGAGTTAACCACAGCACACAAACCCTCACACACGCCACAGGAGAACGGATCAGCACCTGACAGGTCGGTCTCTCCCAGAGGCTTCATGACTGTTGTAGTAAAATTCCACGTTAAACCAATTCCCATTAGGGAATGCTGGAAAAAATGACACGTTTGCTCCTAGTCTTAGTTTCCATGCTTCCAAACGCTTGGAAGTTGTGGACTCTGGGTCGTATGCAGCGATCCAGCTCTCATGACCCAAAAAATAATTCAAGGTAGGTTTGAAGTAGAAGTTTGTCTTTGCTTTCAGTCTGAAATGAAACGTGCACAGTGGTCAGGACAGTCAGGGAGGGATCAGCAGGTCAATCAGTGTCTACCTGCATGTGCACGAGAAGCTGATGTTGAATGGGAGATTAGACAATTTTACAATTGGGTATGATTTTCAGTTTTTGTGCTAATGCCTTAAACTTGATTGTGTCATATGTTTTCTGTCCGGTCTCATGTTTGTTGAAAGACTCTTTTACATAAAATGGCTTAATTTGAATCTTTTAAATCCTAAAATCAGTCGTAGGAGAGTTAGAAATGATTTTTTCTTCTTAGGTCATTTTTCTGTAATATTTGTTAGGATGGCATCTGTGGAGCTCCTCGTTTGTAGAACATCTCTACTGTTGTGTTTTTCACAAAACTATTTTATTATTTTAATGACATTTCTTGTTTTGTATATTTTTGCTATCCTGTTGTTTTTTCTCTCCAGGTGATCCTTGTGTTCGGGATTCATCTTTGGATGTTCTTTATCCTGCCCGCTGTCACTGAGAGGTGATGTCAGCTTACGTCCTGCATTTACTGTGTTATTTGTGATAAATTATGACATCGATAATGATCTGAGTCCCAGTTTTGAAGGATCGATTCTCTATATAAAATAGTAAAAATGTAAACAATAAGTATATGTCAACAGAAGTTTAACATTTTGTCCTCTTTGATATATTAACACCTATATTCATTTATATTTAACTATATAATATGCATATATCTGAAGAGCATCATGAATACGCTTTTGTCAATGATTCAGATGTTTGTAATATTCGTTAGTAGAAGTAGGAAGTGTCCTCTGCTTTAACAAAAATAACTCCGTGGAGGAGTAATGGATAATTGTTGAGCAGCCTCTAACAAGTGCGTACTTTAATTAGCTGCACCTGCTGAACTGTTTATTAACACAAATATATAATCAGCCGTTTCCATGCACACGCTGCGTTTAGGTGTGTAGACATGGTGAAGATGATCTGCTGAGTCTTACAAAGTTGATTCTGTTCATCTGGACTGTTTTCAGTGACAGTTTGAGGCTCGACTGCCTTCGAGCTTCTCCAACCTTATAAACTGTACATTTGCACAATGACCCAAACGGACTAACAACAGGCTGTGAGGTCATTATTTATGGTCGTTAATATGTAGATTGTAATATTCACAGAGAGTTGGGGAATGGATGGTGACAGTTGTACCCTCCCCCATCTTTCTCTGTTTACATAAATGGCCTCTTTGACTCGATTAATATACCCAGACATAACCATCGCCCATTTATCTTTATCTACCAGTCAGGGATCAAATTACTGACCCTCTGACTGCTGCACTCTGCATGTCAGTGTGTCCTCGGTGCAAAACCCCGAGTTGTCCCAATGCATCCATTGAAGTGTGAGGTGTGTGCAAAAGTTAGAGGTGCTTAGGCCTAGAAGCACTACGAGCCTTATGTGGGAATAAGGTTTGCAGTGAAAAGTGCTTTGAGTGTTCAGTTTGAGTGGAGGAGCTCTATAGAACCATTTACTGCTTCAAGCTCATGGGAAGCTAGCAGCAATGCAAAAAGGCGATTGTTACAATACTGCAGAGCATCTCTGAATACGCAACATGTTAA